CTACAGTCCAATTTAATTAGTAAATTTATGTTTTCTTTTATTTGATTCCTTAGTTCAATATATCTAATTATATTTTTTTTATTAAATAATTGGATTCTTAGAAGAGTTCTTGTTCAATTTATTTATTTATTATCGAAAGAATTCTTTGGTAAAAATTATATTTGGGATATTGGAAGTAAATTCAGGAAAACCAGAAGTGTGATAAAAATTATTCCAAAAAATTTAATATCACAAATTTTCTTAATTGAAAATTTTAAAGTTGCATTTCTATTGCAATTTTCATTTGCATTGAATAATTTTGTCATACATAAAATGCAACTCTAGACTCTTGAAAAGAATAGCAATGACTCGAACTGATTCACAATAATTTTTTTGCTTAGTTTTTTTTTTATATAAAAATTTTTATCTAACTTTGGAAAAAAATATTCGAATAGTAATAAAAGAAGCTGAATAATTTATTCCTTAAGATTAAAAAAAATTGAAGTTTATAATTACATGGCTCATATAGCACTTGTGTACAGACAAAATCATAAGAATAAATTAAAAAGCTGTTACAGTTGAACTCTGAAAAAAAAGCCTCAATAATACGAGTGTAAAATAATATTTTTTATCAAGTTAGCAACATAGAGAATGATTTTTTATATTGTATTCAATACCGGAACTCGATTTTTATTAAAAATGAGTCAAAATAATGAAATAATTTTTTTTACTAATTCTAAAGCAATTAATATTAAAATGATATCACAGTGCCTCTGCACTGAGAACAAAATTTCATGAAATGAACTGATTTTTTATTTAATGTTACAAGTTTGAAAACAAATGACATTTTATTCATTTGATTAAATATAACGATTTTAATGCGACTATTGGAAATTTCGATTAAGATCGAATGAAATATTTTTTGTATGAAGTAAATTTTTTTCTCAATGTGTCTTTGAAGTGGGTACAATTCATCCATGCACATCGTGACTAAAAGTGTAATTTAAAGTTTTGAATAAAAAAAAATCTAAAGTCTCTTTAGATGGTGCACTATTTTCTATGTAACCCAATAAAAAAAAAGATGCATACATTAACTCATAAATTTGTCAACAGGGAGGTTGTATGTATGGTGTTGATCGCGGCCAGTTAGGAATAAAATCTGTTGGGGGTAGACGATTATGACGCAGCATTAAGATGGTAAGGGTATGTCCGAGGGGTCGAGAAGAACGGAAACTAATAAAAGGGTGGAGAGAGACCCTTTTTTTCATGTATTATATGATTGGCACGCGCTACGATAACCCTTCCGCAGATATTCTCCGAATAGTCTCATCAATTTCATATAATTTTTCTCTAACTGGAGATATTTTTATGCTGTCTTTATTTTTTCCCTCGTTTTCTTGTTTTCCAGTGTCACACCCTCCAACTGACAATGGTTTTTCTGTCAGGCTTGGCCATCTGCGATGGGCGTGATCAAGTCACCCCATCGTACTTGGACAGCAATTATTTTGGAATCCATCAGTTTCTGTAGAGGATTAGCGACGTTTGAGAGCGATTAACAGACATTAATGATGGATCGATTCATGTTTTTCTTTTCTACTATTCCATCTAGTCTATTCTTTTGATGTAATCAATAAATCTCGTGCTCTATGTTGCTCTAATTGGCCGGAAATTTGCAATCTTTTTCTTTTCATCTTATTATTAGAAACAATAGAAAAGTGTGCTAAGAAAATCCCTCAAGCTTAAGCAAAAAGTTTACAGCAAGAACTCATCAGTAATAAGAAGAAAATAAGTTGAAATAATTTTTATTAAATTAAATGTATTGAATTTTTAAATAAAGGGAAAGCACACTTGAAGATAGACATTAAAACCTAAAAGATAAATGAAAAAAAAAAATTTAGTACAATTTAATTTGTAGTTTTTTTATAATTTTAATAATTTATTTATCTTCTAGGTTTTGTTCAACTATTAATTAAGTTACACTCACTGTGACTTTTTAATAAATGATAAATTTTGAAAAATAATTAATTTTAATTAAAAATATTTAATTGCTGTTATCATTAAGGTATTAAATGAGAAAGATTTATTATCTTCTTCATAAAATTTACTTTTCTTTCGTGGTAAAAATCTAGAATAAAAGGCATTAGAAACATTTAGCAACCCTTTTGTTCAAGGCATCTGAAAGCTCTCAAGACGTAGACTTTCTTCTTAACTAGCAAAGGGAGATGGTTCGTTGAACAAGGCGGTCACCATAGTAACAGAGAATAAGGAAAAGTAGGGGTGGTTACAAAGGTGGGGTTGATTTCTTCATAACGGCCGCCATTATCGCACCCCCTGTACTTTTCTCATTATGTCTTGATGCCAGAGAAAAATATTCTTATTTTCATAAAATCCCTAGGCTTTTTTGTGCTTTATAAATCATTTTTATTTATTATACTTTAATCATACATAATTATATGATTATTTATTATTATCATTATTATTATTATTATTTTTATTCAATTCATCATAATATTGGTTTGCAAGTTCTTTCATGTCAATAGAAAACACGAAGCATAGATTTTTATATTGTTGATTCAACTTGTGTATGATGGAAGCTTTTAAAAATTGATGATCGGCCAACTTGTATCCACGCAAACCAGATTCAAAGCCACATCTTGTATTCATAGCAATCCCACTAAAAAAAAAACCCAAAATCTCTCTTGAGTGTAGACTCGATATGATTACAATAAGTTACGCGTCCGACGAGACTTTTCTATAGTAGTGTGCCCACATCATATTCTACATCAAAATGTATCGGAATAACCACAACAGGCTCAACCACAGCCCCTTCAAATGTCACAATTAATATTTCAGCTGATTCTTGGGAGCAAAGTAGGCCTAGTATGCATGTATTTTTCTTTTTTTTTTATTATGCGGTAGCTGTCGATTTTTTTTTCAAAATATTCCCTCGAATCAATTTTTTATTTCATAAATAACAAAACTGATTGATTTTTTCCCACCAGAACCCAGTTTTCTTCTGGGAAAAAATGATAAAGGTATCATTTTGATGATGATTAAATATTACAAGGTTTTATAATATTGTAAAATATTAATTTATTTCCTTATAATCCTTTTAGTTTTGCTGTATTTTTTGTGCATTTGATGTTCAAAGTGTCTAGTAGGTGTTAAAATCCTAAAAAACTGATTTATGTAAACAAAAGATAAGACTTAAATCTACTTACTCGAAACAAGTAATTAAATACCAAGTTAGCAATAAATATTTAAAATATTTTGCAACAAAAAATCATAACATTAAAATAAAAAATTTAATAGTTAAATCTATAAACAATAACTCATTCTTTTACAACAGTTTCTAACAACTTTATTAATAAAAAAGTGTAAAAATTATTTATTTGATTAATTACATAAAATAATTAATTAATCACAAACAATTGCTTTCCATTGTCCTGTCAGTTAGTTATTAATTTTCTGACAGACTTCACTGTTAGAATTTATTCAATCGTAAATTGCATTATTTTCTCACCGTATATTAAACATCGAATTCATTTTTAACAGCATGCATAAATTATACAATTATTATTGAAATTAATCATATATTTATGCATCTTTTTACATGAAAATTATAATATCTTTTATGAGAACATAAAACGATAATAATTATTAATGTTAGAGAATAACACTTGAACCTTTATTAGAAGACATATAGCTTTATAAACACCTGTGTACTTGATGGTAAAGTGTATGTACGTGTATAGCCAGAGGATACCTGCAGTGCAGTTCGATGTTGACCTTTATGAATACTAAGAAAGAATTACACGTTTATATCTCCAACATGCAATTTACCATTGTGTTTTCACAACCCATTTCTGATTAATAATGTAATCTAATAAGTCATCACGAATACAATCTGTCGGTCTTTCTGCTAAAAATTATTTACTCCAATTCCCAGAATTTATTTCAATAATTTTTCTTTTATTTTATTAAATTGTATCAATAATTTATTGGCATACAAATGCATAGGAATGTTAACACATCATGAAAAATATTTCAGACACTGCGGGTACAAACGAGGAAAAGAAGTTTCCACGTCTAAGCTGTTTTCTTTTTACGACACTCCAGAGAGAGCTCCTGCTCCAATAATCCATCGATTGAAGGGTCATCTGTGTCCTTTCTTATCAAATATTTTAGTGCACTCTTAAAAGCTTTTATCACATAATTTCCTTTGTATCAATATCACAAACACATCAAAACTACTTGGTTTAATATTCAAAATAATCTACATAATGCGGGTAAATATGAAACATTGAAAATTTGGTTCTCAATGATTCTTGCAGCTGTTGATGAAGTCTGATTATCATGAGAACTATGTGGGCTCTTATATTGGTCTCTAAATAATTTAAATTGTAATACCAGTCTTTTAGATAATTATAAAGGTATAATATATAACATATGGGATAGATAAATGTTGATAATATAATAAAAATAAAAGGAGTAATATGTATTTTATTATTCATAAAAATGGGATTCTTATACAGAGAGATTATCAGACAATATTGAAATGTCGTCGAAGATATAGAGAGATCAGGAAAGTAGGATTATCTGAATAAGGTTGAAAGTCCAGAGTGAGTAGTGACCCCCAAGGGGGTAGTAGGTGGTAGCCCCATGGGTCAGCCCCTCACGTGACGTATGACGGTCATCTGGACATGGTAGCATCTTGCTCTAGAGCCTGCAGCAGCTTTACTTGTCTGCATGAGGGTGGCAAATAGATTATTTGAATATCGATCGATTGACCCTTGGAGAATGTGGGGTGACTTCGACCCTTTTTTTTTTTGAAACTCAATTGGAGCTGAGTACTCTGTTCGGGTTGATTGGGTCTGAGATAAATATCTCATTTCCGAAATATTCTCTTTCCTTTTTCATCTTAAATATAACCCTGGTTTTTATATTGTTCTTTCTTTGCTGTAATAGTATATTTATTTATTATATTGAAGTATAATAGAATTTTTCGTCCTTTGTTCCAGTGAGTGACACGCTCGGGAGAATCGATAAAGAGCCAGCATCCCCGGAATCCGTTCAAGGTGAGTAGAAAAGAGATGATTTTTAATGTTTCGGTAGATTTATTAAGTAAATCCGTGGAATTGTGAATGAAAGTAGAATTTAAATCTCGCAATTTACAAGACAAGATGGAAATAAGGGGGCTATTATGAAGCTGAACTAAAATTCCTGTGGCGGCGTCTCTTGGACCCTTGGTGCCCTTTTATCGTCAAGCTAATTATTTCCACGTAAAGCACGCCATAAAGTCAATTACATTTGCGAGCGGCACAGTTTGTCATTTCTACTCATCCCAAGAAGTCCAAGCCTATCCGACCCATCAACTTTTTCGTCGACTTTAGTATTAAAAGTGCACAAAATACACTGATGCAGTAATCATTGGATCCTCGAACAAGAGGATGTCGTAAAAAATCAAAGTCACCTCGTCTAGATAATTCTATACTATTTGCTAAAGTTTAGCATTTTTCGTGACTCCAATTCGTTGTGCATTGATTGTTGTATTGTGATTTGAACCTACCAATGCCATCAATCAATTGTTATTTCATACATATGTTTTATTATCCAAATTCGAATAGCAATTATTTATTCATTCATTTAATGGAGATAATTTGTCTTCACTCAAAATTACCTACCAAGAAAGCTAGATGCTGATCATTCAGAAACAATCAAATTTCAATGACATTCAGGAATTATAACATTATTGACAACGTTGATGAAAAAAAACATACCATGATTAAAATAATGGTTAATTATAAAAAATTGAGATTAAATTTATTGCAGAGTATCATGATCTTGTAGATTGATAGATAATGGTGGTCATTAGCACCTAAATCTTGCAATTAATAAATAATTATGGAAAATAGGTTGAAGTAAGACTAGGTTAATCAAAAGTTTTGGGTTAAGAAAAATGTTTTATTTTTGTAATCAAACTTTTAAGGGGTGAAAATATTTGATAATTTATTACTTGCTAAAATTCCATGTTTCTTTTCATTTAGGTTCTAATTGAATCCCCAATTTATTGTCGTCACCTTCAATGTCAAGAAAAAAAGATCTTGGGTGACGACAGGTGTCATGAATTTGCACTAGTCGTTTTACGTTTACGAGGGTAGCATACTACGTGTCTGTTGGAAATTTTTCCGTAAAAGAGATAAGAAAATGAGTGACAAACATTATTGAAATATAAAGACAGTGGTATTGTAACGACGTGTCAGCAAGTAAAATGGAAAGTTAAGAAGTTTGGCCTTCATCGTTTTGAGAATCCTTCTGTTATGTTGACTTTTTTATTCCTCCGCGTCTCTGTTTCTTCCGAAGATCATTAAAAGTCGCAGAAAGGACAGCTCGAGGCCTCAGACGACGCGTACCAAAACGACTGGTTGTGCTCGAACGCGTAAATCGTTTCACCCCCTTGTTACGGTTCGACTGAAAAATAAGAGAATGGAAAATAAAAAAAAAATCAACTCAAAGGATTTCAACAGAAGTCAGAGACAAAAAATCTATAGTATGCTTTTTTTTTATTTTCCTCCTCTCTTCTTTCCTCCCACTCGTTCTCCTGGAAATCTCGAACCGGTCGTAACTAGGGAGAGACTCACAGGCCCATCAGCAATTGGACCTCAACGATATCTGGTTATAATAAGAAGCATAAAAAGGGAAAAGTAAGAAAAAGCATATTGCCAACCTGTGTTTTACTTTATTACATTAAGTCTGTTGTTTGTCTTATTACTATCAACCTCTTTCTCAATTAGTAATTTTATTTTAATGTGGATTCCTTGAATCCATATCCTTGATAGACCTTCCTGCCACTCATTTCTCGAGACTACTTGTGCCCTCAAAAGGTATATACATATATATATAAACATAAGAAATGGATGAGAATACGTAGAAGAACTTGAAAGAATCATTCGCAAAAGGAGTTTGGGAGGGGCTTGTCATTAGGAGTCATTAATATTATACAGACCTCTGTAATTTGACTCACTTCCGATAGATTCGTACTACACTATCACCATCTGCTCCATTTCTCTCGCATTTTAAATCCACCTAATATAGATAAATACTCCTAAATAGTCTGCTTTTGGAGAATTTGAATTTTTTTCTTCAATAATTACCAGAGTTCAGTTTTTCATTTCTTGTAAAAATTATCATACCGGAAGAAAACCCTTGCCATCATTTTTCTTCGTATTGAAAATATGTTAAATCAACATGATAATTAATTCTTTTCATAGAATTTAACACTTTCGATTGATTTTTGATGGTTTTGACAAATTTAGCATCTATTTGTCCAGTTATGGTAATATTTAAAATAAATGATTGTTGGTGTAGAAAAGTAAATATGGTCAGAGAATTTAACTGTCAATAGTTGCAGATTTTATGCATGGTTGTGAGTGAATGTTATGATGATTTATTCATGTCGTAACTGCTGCACACCTGTCCAAGTGATTGAGGAAGTTTCTTTTGTTAGCATTGGCTTCAGCAAAATTTCCCTAAAGTCAGGGCTCCCCCCTTTGCTCAGATTCATTCTCATGGAAATGGTTGTCACAATGCAATATGCTTGTCATCCATCGATTACCCAGGACATTACGCATATGTAGAATTTTTTTCTCGTCAATTTCGGAATATTTCCAATGTCATCAACGTATCTGTCTTTCGACGTCTGGTCTGAATGCATACAGCAGTGGCGTTTTTTTTTTTTACATCACAGTTTTTCTTATACATTCCTACGTATATTTTGTGATGCTATTCAATTCCCCCATGATCGTTGGCTTCATACTTGGAATGCAAATAATTTCAAGTGGAATCGTGAATAACTTTCGGTCACTTTGTCATTTAAATTCATTCGAAAGTAGCCGTATCATTCGCTTTCTCGATTTAACCGCTTGAAATCCTGCAACGCTTTTCCATCGAGACTACTACTACTACTACTATGACTACTCGCTCTCTTAAACCTTTTTCAAATGTAGTCTCGGGTGAGCGAATTCAAATTCACTCCTTGTGAATTCTTGAATGGTCCACTAGAGTTGACTTATTCTTCTTCTTGCAATTTCTATCAAAGTCAAAAAGCCTCAGCTCTTAACATAAAAGTTTATTTTTTGGAAATGACAAAAAAAATCATCATAAAGATTTATGATAATTGTTGCTAACTTAAAAGTTTATTGAACAATTCAACTTTTTTGTCATTTTATTCAAAGACTTGAAAAAAATTATTCCTGAAAATGTTTTTAGTGAAATAAAAATTTTTAAATATTTAAAATTAAATTTCAAACCAACATATTTCATAGCTTATTTACTAAAATATCTCTCAAAGCATTTTCGAAGATAAAAAAAACATTGAAATAACATGTGATTTTAATAATTGAGATATGAATTCAAATTTTACTGATAATACTTATTATATCAAATTTAAAAATTTTAATTGCTTTCGTGTGAAGATGTTTATTATTCGCCCCACCTTAGTCCTTTTCTGTTGTTCTTTTCCACCACCAGCTTCTGTAACTTCTTCTTCCTATTTTTCGCTGAATGCAGGTACATAAAGATGCCAGTGGAGACTCTGCAGAGCGTCTTGCTAATCGCGTAAGGAGAAATGAAAACGAGTATAGTAACTCTTTCCTGGAAGTTGGCGCGCAAAAGGCATAGGAAGACATTCAAGAAATACTTACTCAAGTCATTCAAACGTGTATGTGTACCTGAGTGTTTTTCATTGGCATATTCTCACAGAGCTCTCTGACTTCCGTCACTACCACTCGACTTCTTTATATACTCTTATGATTCAGTGATTTATTACCCAATGACATTATTAATCATTACATTACGACTTCAATACATTTTAATTATACTTAATGGAATATAATTACAGTGCATAAAAGATGGAATATTTTTAAAATCTTTGGATCCAAATGTGGTAATGGTATAATATAAGCGTGAGAATAAGAAGGACGTTGATGAAGGGAAAAGACACAGGCATTCGTGTCATGTACCATCCTCGATCTCGTAGGCGTCGGCGGCGCCATTATATTTGCTAAGACCAAGAGGACTAGCAATTAGCAATTAAACCAATAACTCTGCAATTGGTGATTCCATCAATGGAGTGTCGTTCCCACAGAGGGAACGAATCAACTTGAGTTCGCTTCTGGGCTATCATCTTTTTAGTTTTTACTTATCTCCAACACTTTTGCTTCTTGTCATGTTATTAACAAAAATTCTGCTCTGAATAAAGGGTTTACGGGTCTCCAAGAATCATTTCTTCTAACAAAAATCATTGTTTCTGAAGATTGATAGTTGTTCTATCTGGAAATGAATATAATGTTTTCTGAAAATGAAGTAAAGAATATTCATTGCTTACGATGATAAGGATAGTACTGATTTATAGATAGTGATGATTTTGTAAGGATAAATTAAGGGAAACTAGGGTAAGAGAGTCCTTTTAGAAATTTTTTAAATCAATAAAAATGCTAAAATGTCAATTATATTATGGATAGTCTAGAAATTGACATTTTTAGAAATAAATTTAGTGATTGAAGTAAACTATTTTATTTCGCCATTTTACAAACTCAACTTTTGAAATTTTATACACTGTATTATTTTTGTAAAAAGTTAATTTTGAACCCGGAGATTGTTTTGTTCTAATATTCACTGTTTCTAAAAGGCTTTCAATGATTTTCACCTATTTATTTTTAAAGCGTAACATTTTTAATAAAAAAATTAATATTGGAATAGATTTTATCAGACTTTCATTGATAAAATCACATTTTTGGATCAAGAATATTTTTAAATAAAATAATAATACTTGTATAACATAGCACAAATGAAGACAGGATGAATGACAATAGAAATACCATGATCTTGCCTCCATTCTGAATTCATTTTGCCATCATTTTGAATCCATTCTATTCTTATCCTTCATTCGTGTCATGTTGTACAAGTAGTAGTGTATTATTTAAAAATATTATGATTAATAATTAAACTATTTTGATCTAAAAATATGATTTCATTAATGTAGAAGAATTATTTCTATTCATATTTCACATTCAACTAA